GTCGACGGCCCGGATTGGGTTGAAACTGTATCCTCCTTGGTCCACCGTTCTGACTGGGTACCTGCACTCATACAAGTCGATGCACACGACCAAGGGCCTGGGCGAGGTTCCTGGACCTACAGTTTACTTTGACCTTTGAATTTCTTGCTGTGCGCGGTCACACAGTCACCCGCAGCGGCCTGAGGCCGAGCAGCGCGTGGTCGCACTGCTCGCTGGGCCTGGTCTTGGGTTACAGCGCCCAGGCCGCTGCTGAACGCGGTTTACTGCATTCCTGCCGGCCCGAATTCGAGTTCCACCGCAGAAATACTTAAGACTTCAGTCCGCGTTCATAGCTAGCAACAATATCAGGAGCAGTATCCATCAGTTCCCTTCTGCTAAACCAACGGTCTTCAAAGGCATCTTGGAAGTGGAATCTTACTTTATACTGCTTCTGAGGTCTGCCTCTTCCACCAGTAGAAAAGAATCCATGGTCAGTAATTTTCTCAACCACATAGCTGCCATTCATAGAAGGAGGTATGGAAGATGGTTGGTGAGGAAATTATGTTCCTTCTACATATGGAAGGAGTTTAGACGCGTGGAAGACGGGGTATGTCCGAAGATGAGGGGGAATGTCAATCCGGTATGATGGTCCATCGGCATCCCCTATCACCTCATCGGCATCCCCTATCACCTTGAGAACTTCCCAGGGTCCTAGATAGACAGGCATCAATTTCTGAGAAACATCCTCTTCTAGAGTGAATTATTTGGACTTAACCCAGACCAAGTCACCAACTTGAAAAGTAGACGGGCGTCGGTGTTTGTTAGCTTGTTCAATCATGCGCTCTTGGGTTTTTCTCAGATTCTCCTTCACCTTTTTTACGTCTTCTTGAAACATAATGGCATATTCCTTTGTCCCTGGTGGAAGTCTAAGAAATTGATCCCTGGTTAAAACATCAATGGGACGCTTAGGCTTCCAGCCCTTGTGCAGTGCGTCAGGTGTGCGTCCCGTCGCGATATGCACACTATTATTATATGCACCAGCAATCTTGGGTAAGTTCTCATCCCAGTCTATTTGGTCAGGACGGACATACATTCTCAGAAGTTGTTGGACCATACGGTTCATTTGCTCAGACTGGCCATTCGTTTCAGGGTGTCTACCTGACGACATGGTGAGTCGTGTACCGTAGGCTTCCATCAATTTCTGCCAAGGCATGCTTGTGAATCTGACATCGCGGTCAGAGATGATAGACATAGGGAACCCATATTCAGTTACCCATCGCATCTGAAATTTAGCAATTACAAGCTCAGTCTTGGCTTCCTCAGGCAAGGGTATGAACATAGCATATTTAGAGAAACGATCAACCACAACCATAACTTGACTATTGCCATTTCGGGACTTGGTGAGTTTCATAAAGTCAATGGATACAGACTCACCTGGCTCACTCGGTATAGGTAGCGGTCGGAGTAATCCCAAAGGTTTCTTAGTAGACGGTTTGTTTCTCTGACATATTTGGCATGTACTAACATATGTTAGCACATCCTCTTTCAAACCCTTCCATTCATAGTGCTCACGTACTTCAGCATACGTCTTCTTGAAACCAAAGTGTCCTTCTGTGTCATGACATTCCCCAATTAGCAGACTTTTAAGTTCTTCCTTGTGAGGAATGCATAATCTCTGTTCAGTTTGGTCCAACAAGAAGAGTAAGCAATCAGACAATCGGTAGTGAGGAAGTTGGGATGGATCCTTGGCTAGGATATCCATGATTGGTTTCCAGACAGGGTCAGTCCAGCGCGAATCTGAGCTTTCACATCATTCCCAACATCCAGGTAAGAGACGATAGCCCCAAAGAAGTCACTCCTCCTAGATAGTGCGTCTGCTACAACATTAGACTTACCTTTAATTGTTTTGAGTTCGAAATCAAAGGTATCAATAAAAGCAGACCAACGCACCAACTTGTCAGACAATCGAGGTCCACTTTAGAGTCGAATGGTCCGAGTACACAGTGAAGTGTCTGCCAAGGAGATAGTGTTTCCACGTTTCTAGGCCACAGACTAATGCATATAACTCCCTTTCGTAGGTGGAGTTGGCGACTTTGTCGCACGACAGTCGTTTAGACATAAACTCAATAGGGCGGTAGCCCTTACCGTTGTCTTGCTGTAAGACAGCGCCAACACCATACTGACTTGCGTCAGTCGTAACAATTAAAGGAAGAGACGAGTCGGCAATCTTGAGGACAGGATAGTGAGTTAGAGTATATTTCAGCTTTCGGAAAGACAAATCACAATCCTTATCCCATAGCCAGACAGTACCTTTCTTAAGCAACCTTCTCATTGGTGCAGCGATAACAAAAAAGTTCCTAACGAACTTCCTATAGTAACTCGCCAAACCAAGAAAAGATCGAAGGTCTGTCAGAGTCTTTGGCTGCGGCCAATCTCTGATTGCCGAGATCTTCTTTTCCTCAGGCCTCAATCCCTCCTCGTTCACTATATGTCCCAAGTATAGGACCTCAGACCTAGCGAATTCGGATTTCTTTGGGTTGAGTTTGAAGTTACCCTCGCGTAACTTCCCGAGTACTAGACGTAGATGTTTCTGGTGATCGTCTAGTGTTTTACTATATACTAGAATATCATCCAGATAGACGATGACGAAGTCCTCGAGCCATTGCCTGAACAACTCGTTCATGGACCTTTGGAAGGTCGCAGGTGCGTTCGTTAGACCAAATGGCATCACGATGAACTCGTAATGACCATATCTCGTACGAAATGCGGTCTTATGCTGATCGGCCGGATCCACCTCGATCTGGTGGTACCCGATCTGGTGGTACCCAGACTTAAGGTCGATCTTACTAAAGACCTTACAACCCTGCAACTGATCCAGGAGATCGTCGATCCTTGGCAAAGGTTCGGCGTTTTTTACGGTGACGGCATTCAACCCTCGGTAATCGATGCAAAGGCGCAGCTCACCTTCCTTTTTGG